TTTGGATGCCTTCTGGAACCATCCTGTCCTTTTTTTAAATGTTTTGATACTGTCTGCTGTCTTCGGGACATTTAAGAATTATTTTATTCATTTATTGATTGTAGATTTTTTTGTTTCGTCCTGCTTTTTTGTTTTATTTGGTTATGTCTGGGCAGGTAGGCTGGGCTCATCTGTGGGAATACTTCTCACCACCTTGTCCAGGTGGACAGGACCAGTTGCTCAGCTATGCTGCAGCAAGGTAGGTCCAGTAGAGGGGGAGGGGCAGGGATGGGTCATTTGTGGCATATATTGGGGCCGACAGGGCGGGGCCAGGGGGCAGTGCAGGGCAAGGTCCGGTGATATGTGCTTGTGCTGCTTGGGGGTGTGGTGCTCGGTGCACGGTGCAGACAGGCAGGAAGGAAGGGAGATGATGTGATGTGTGGATCAGGTGCTCTGTTTCCTGTTGGGAGCTCCATGAAGTTGCCTTCCCATACTCCCTGTCCGCCATTCTTGGTGGCTGAGGTCCAAGATGGAAAGTCCATGCTGCATTAGATGGTGGGGGACCTCCACTCTGTAGCTCTCCTAGTTCTCTGTTCTCTGCGCATTTCTTATTTCATTTGGTGCTTGGTTGAGTTCTTTATCCCTTCATTTGATGCTTAGGTTCCAGGATTGACATTTGTATTTGTTTTACTTAGTTTTTCAAGTCTTTGCTGTAAAGGGACAGCAGGGTGCTTCTGTCTATAGTGCCATGTTGGCTCCGTCTCCAAGAAAAAAGTATCGAAGATGATTCTTTAATTCAACAAAAAAATGAGTACAGCAGGGATCTGCCTCTGAGAAGTTGCAAATGCAAAGAAAAATATTCAAAAAGCTAGTCATAAATCATAGCAGAATGAAGTAAACATTATTGTTCTATACATTCGTGAGACATGGTCTGAAAAGGAGCAACATTTGGGAGGTAAAATGCACAAGGATAGGAAACTTACTGGATATGGGGGCATGCAAAAGAGACAAGGATGTTAATCTCTGGCTTAAGTACCTGGGGTGGCACCAGTACCATTAACCATGATATGGAATAAAAGCAGGTTTGAGAAAGGCCATTAGAGCTATAAAACAGCTAGGAATTATGGCTAGTATTGACAAGAGTTGGGAAGTTATGAAATTTGGAACTCAGTAGCATTAACGAGATATTTCGAAGTCAATCTGATCATCTAAGGAAACAGAATAGCTTAAGAAGACCACGAATAAAATACTAAGAAGGATAAATATTCAAGTGGCGAGGAAAGGAATCCAAGTCAGGTAAGGAAACTTAGAATAACTGGTCAGCTAGGCAGGAAGACAACTAGGACAATACATTGTAATAAAAGCTGAACGAGAGAAGAGATTTCAAGACAGAAGGTAAAATAAGGAGAGTTAAAATACGGGGAAAAAATTGAGGTGATTAAGCAGTTAAACATGTTCATAGCAAGGTCAATAGCTGAAACTGGGAAGCTGGGAAGTTTGGGGGAATAGGGGACGACAAAGAAGGTAAGAAAACCACTCAGACAGAACAAAGGGTCAACTAAAGTGATTAGGGATATCAGGAAGAGCAGGCTCAGCTGAGTTGGTACTAGAAACAGCACGTATTTTTCTTTTTACCACCAAGGCTCGAGATTCCAGGATCAGGAGTGGAAAAATTAAATATTCAAATACTTTCCCCTCACCAATTTATTGAAAACCAACAATATGCCAGGCATGATGCTATACACTTTACAAGTTCACCAGGCTTATCTTCAAAACCGTATAGCTTCTTTTCCTCTTTCCTCCTGCTTCCCTCTCCTGAACAACTCAGTCCTAAAGAATGGGACAGAGACAGGAGGGTCTGAGCAGGCTGCCAGAATCACAGTGGGGTGAGCCAAGATGGTGTCCACACAAGAGGGTGACCGGGTGTAGAGTATCAGCCCAAGTAGGGTGTGGAGGGGGACCTCGTGGGGTGCAGGCAGCATGGCATAAGAAATCAGAGCCTAAACAGAGTGGTAAGGCAACCAAATATGGGGGTGACCCAGCACAGCATGTCAAAGCCCAAGTTAGGTGAAGAGGACATCCACTTGGAGGACAGCCTGGCATGGTGTGTTGGAGCCCAAGAAAGGGGAAGAGAGTTTTTATGTGGTGGCAGAAAGTGGCCTAGAATCCCTGGGAACCAGATCTTGAAAGGGACAAGGAGGGCATCTGCATAGGGTATGGGATAGCAGCTGGGATGGGAAACTGGTTACCCTACATGGGGACTGATGTTACAAGAGCCTGAAAATGTTACTCTGTTTACGCAGAAATCTCTATCTATAAAGCTATGAAAGAAATAAAAGATTAGTTCAAAGACTATGAATGCTATTTGTAAACGGGAATAGTTTAATAAATAAATTATGGCATATTCATGCAATAGAATAGTATAGTCATAATCACTACCGCTAAAAATCAATTTAACGAAGTGTCATTATGGAAACAAATGAGGCTTTTCCTATGATATATATAATAGAAACTTTCAGCTAAGAAGTTATATTTTAATAACTGTCAGAAACTCTGCTACTACAAAAGGGCAGAGAGACTGATCAATCAATCATTCAATCAATCCAAGTACACTAAAGATCAAAAAACAAACCAGTCCTTCGAGCTGATTTCGACTTACAACGACCCTACAGGACAGAGTAGAACTGCCCTGTAGGGTTTCCAGGGAGCAGCTGGTGGATTCAAACTGCCGACCTTCTGGTTAGCAGCTGAGCTCTTACCAACTGTGCCACCAGGGCTTCAATCCCAGTACAGCAGAAAAAATAGATTAAAGAAGTAAAATGCTAAAATACTCCAATTATCCAAGAAAAATACAATGTTTCATATGGAACTCTTGTGGCAGAAGTATGAACTTAAATTTTGTTAGGTGGTAAAGGAAGGAATTCAACTGGTTCACACAGGAAGGGAGGGAGCTTGGCAAAGAGCTGCTGGTAGAACTGGAAGAACTCCAAGTTCTGGAAGAAACCCACGAGAAACGGCCATCATCAGCTCTTTTGGCCTCTACAGTAACCAGCAAGGGTTGGCCATATTAGAGGATTAAGAAGCCACGGAGTGCCTCTTCTGACTCCTTCCCTCTGTTCTCCTTCAGTTCTCAAAAATGTTAACTTTCACAGCCAGTAAGCATTTTTAGATATAATGTGATTTTAGAGGTCCCTCAAAACCCCCCAAGTGCCAAACCCCCATCTTTAATAAGTAAATCTTTCATTTGAGGATTAAAAAGCAAGCAGGTAGTTGATTTGACACCCATCTCTCATTCAGACTTAAGTGAAATCAGTAAATCAATCATCAGGCATTAAGGACTGAAAGCCTGCTATACTCTGCGGGGAAATTTCTGGGGTCATGTCTATGCAATCTAACCCTGACACCTTCATGGCCATAGCTGAATGATACAAAACTAGACATATGACTCAAACTGAGGCAATTGCATTCTCTCTCCATTCCAAATGGAGATGAACAGAAGAAACAGAGAGATTGATGGCTAATATAGGCAAATAAAATTAACAACAGAACTCTAGAGAGAAGTTTCTAGAACTTCTGCTGCTCAGGGGCTAACATGGACCTGGTTTGCCTTTCCTTCCCAAGTCTTGGCTGTCTGTTGTCGGCATAGTTTACACATGTAGTGAAAAGTAGAAGCAGAACACAGTGGCCTTTTTTCCTGGCCCAACTTTAATGAGAAGATTACTATTAGCAAACCAATACCACTCTGCATAATTTATGAAGGCTGTTTATTTTCCAACTTGCTGGTACATGACAGTAAGTTCTCAATGGATTTATTAATCAAGGCATTGCTTGATTAATAACCTTCCCAAGAAGTCATCTTGGCAAAGATAAATAATTTAACTTCTGCTTTTCTATTTAACCTAATCTTGGGTCATGAATTATTACTTTTTATAGTCCTATGAAAATAAATGTACCTTACTGCAGCAATCAAACAAAAGCTCAAAGATACTTTAGGGTAAATACTAAAGTTCTATTTAACAAACCCACAACATTAATTCTCAAATGTTACAGCTTTGTAAGTCAAATATCATAAATTTTAACACTGTACAATTAATATTTGGATTTTTTGATAAACATGATTTCAACCATTATAGAGTAGAAATTATTTTAAAAGGTATTTATTACTTAAATGTGATGAGGACACAGAACTAAACTCCTGGATTTAAATCACAGTTAATAAATTACACATATTAACTTCAATGAAATTTCTTTGGCCTTTCTAGCTTTTCTTGTTTATTACAGTGCAAAGAGATTTCTGAAGAAAGTTATCACTTTTTAGAGCTATCTCCCCAATTCTTCCACTCAGGAAATGATGTAATAACAATGTTTGGATCAGGAGTGTTGTTTGAGAAATAATATGTATAAAAATTATGGGTAACTTGAAAGTAAAAAAGTGTTGATATTGGGTAACATTTATTTGAAAAAAAAATTAAGCAACCCAAGATGACAATAGGAGAGTTATCTATCAGGGCAGCACTCTGAAGTAACCTCATGGCCACTACTGCATTGACTATTGGGCCCCCCTACCTTGGAGGAAAAGTCCAACCCCTGGAACTGAAAGATACTAGAGTCTGGGTTCTACTCCTTTTTGAGTTGAGGCAGTTCAATAATAATAATAACAATAGTAATAACAAATAATTAGCATCTATTATTTATCATGTGCCAGACACTTTATATGTATTAACTCACTTAATCCTCACAACACCATGAAGTTGATATTACTGCTATTCCTATTTTACAGTTGTGAAAACTGAGGTTGTACAAGGTTAAACAGTAAGTAGCAGAATATAGGAATTTAAACCCAGACAGACAGGTTCCATGGCTGGAGCCCTTACCCACTAATACTATTCACAACCTTACATAAAAGCCACCCTGTGTTCTTTTGCCTTGGCTCTCAGCACTAAAGGTGGCTGTGAAGGGTGGCATTTAACCCCTAATCATCACTACTTCTGCCTCTATTGACACTCATGGGCTGCGCTGTCAACCAGGAAGCTGTCAGGGTGTTAGGAAAGCAAATGAGAATATACAAAATTCTTAATTAGTCAAACTCACCCCTAAAAGTATGTAAAATAGTTATTATCAATAATCAAAGGGTTAGTATAAGGATAAATGTGCTAATACCTATTGAGCTACCTACAGTATAGACACATAAGAGCTTAACAAATGTTAGCTACTGTGTCATCTCCGTGAACTCCTAATGCTTCCTCTTCCTTCATACTGCTGCATGAGACAAGGAAGAAATATATATGCATTATTTAAATTCTTTTAGTATTCATCACAGGATATACTCTGGTTTATTATTCCAAAACATAACTCTGACTAAACCATGTATAATTAATACGAGTCAAGACTACAGCATCTTCCTTGTTTACATATTTCTAACAGTTTAATATAAATAGCATGAAAAGCTGTATCATATTTTTAAAGCAATTTAAATGCCAAGATGATGAACATATCTTGGCTATTTAAACACCTCTGCATTTTAAAAAATACACAGAATATTACTGACACTCATGCAATCATTTGAGATAAACAATGAGACCATGAAGCAAATCTGAATTATTCAAAATCAAATACATTAACTTGTTGGCTTCCTTTCATTTACCTACGTGCTATTGTCGTTAGGTGCTGCTGAGTCACTTCCGACTCATAGTGACCCTATAGGACAGAGCAGAACTGCCTCACAGGGTTTCCAAGGAGCGGCTGGTAGATTTGAACTGCTGACCTTTTAGTTAGCAGCTGAGCTCTTAAGCATTATGCCATCAGGGCTCCCTTACCTATATAGGCTAATATTAAAGTAGGAAAAAAGTTAAGATAAATTGTTCCCGGGTGCTTAGTCGAGATTTCCCAGAATTAGAATCTAAGGAACCTGAACTACTGTCATCAAGGAAAGGTTTACTGTAATTGCAAGGGTCCAGGGGGTTCCAGAACTGCTACTAAAGGATGACCAAAGATAGGGTGAGAGAAGATGTATATTTAATCTTCACTTGGTAGAATCAGGAAGAACTGTGCAGAGGAAGAGATCAAACATTTACTGACAGTATATTTGTTAAATTTATAATAAACAATTTATCTAGGGATTTTGCTAAAATACTAATATTTGTCAAGTACTTTATAAACCATTTGCAATCTTACGCTGTACAGGCCAGCATTAGCTTCTTTTATTGGTTGGACAACTGAGGCTTTTAAAGAATCCTCACCTAGTATTTAGGGGCACAAACCCACTTTTCTGATTTCCAATTCCATGTCCTTTCCTCTGCACCACACTCTTTTGTGTAACTTTTCACCCATAAGCCAGCATGTTCCACGGATACTTAGGGGGGGAAATTAGGTCAAATAAAATGAGAAATGCTGTCATCTCCATCAGTCACACTCCATATTATTCACATTGCAAAATCTTGCAACTATCAGATTTGTTTACCTTTCTCTCATTCAATATTTCCCAAAGTTATCTGACCACAAAAGCCAATTATTCTACTAACACTAACATCATGAAGAACACATTTTAGAAAATGTTACTATAGACCAAAGTATTCTGTTTAAATCTTAGTGTAACAGATATTCAGCATACAGACACTACTTCACAGGTTTAACTACTCATTAAACTAAATTTCTTTAAAAAATGTCTGGATTTGTGCACGGCACACCATAGGTACTCAGTTTAAGAACAAAGAACTACATAAACTAAAAATGTAATGTAAGTACTATCTCCTGACATCACTGTTCTCAAAGCAACAAACATTTACCAAGGACAAACTATGAGGTAAGACACTGAAATAAATAATGGAGATACAAAGATAATTCCTACCCTCACAGATTAGCCAAAACAAACAAACAAACAAAAACCAAACCCATTGCTGTCAAGTTGATTCCAACTCATAGCGACCCTATATGACAGAGTAGAAGTGCCCCTTAGGGTTTCCAAGGAGCAGCTGGTGGGTTCGAACTAACAACCTTTTGGTTAGCAGCCAAGCTCTTAACTGCTGTGCCACCAGGGCTCCCACAGATTCGCAGAGGAAATTAATTATACTGCAAGTCAGGCTTTGGCAAGTGCTAGAATAAACATAGATATCACCGTAACATAGAAGTAAAAGGATAACTGATTTTTACAAGAGATTTCCATGCAATTACTGCTACAAAGAGCACAGAAATTAATTTAGCTTAGATATCTAGGATGATAAAAGGGGACCAATACCTGTCTGTAGCTTTGTCTGTCCTTAGGCAGAATGTATTGCTCCCATTTCAAATCTGTTTCCTCAAGGAATATAGTCAAATATTACTAGGGTCACACATCAAAGTGACCCATTCAGAAGCCAACTCAAATAAGCTCCCGTTTGCAAGACAGAATAATCTGAACATCAAAAAGGACAGTAACTGCAATAAATTGAAACACATCAAATATCTTTAAAGCCAAAAATTCATAATAATTAAAAACAAACACATTTTAAAAAACCGAATAACATATTGTTGACCTTTGAAGGATACTAAGTAACTACCACATTACCTTGTAAACTTGCAAAAAGAGAATCAAGGAAAAAAATGCAATATACTATTTCCATGAAAAAGCACATGAAGCTTTTCTACAGAAGCACTAGCAGAGGACATCTAATCCAGCCTCCATGGGATTACAGAAAACGTCCTTGAGGGGAAGATACAGACTCTAAGTCTTAGGACGTTTGAGTTAGTTTTAAAAAAAAAAAAAAAAAAAGCAGAAGTGTCTTTTAAAGCACTAAGGTGAAAATCACTAGAGACTTCAAAAAGCTGTATTTGTTGGAGGGATGGAGTTACGCAGAGTAAATCAGGTTGAAGGCAGGGAGGGATAACAGATGAGGCTAGAAAGCTAATCAGAATTAGATCAGAGAAATCCTTAAAGGCTCCGTGAAGAAACTTGGGAGTTTACATGACATGTGAGAGAAAGCCTTTGAAGGGTGTTAAATAGGTAAGTACCTGTTGCTGTCAAGTTGATTCTGACTCATAGCAACCCTGTAGGACACAGCAGAACTACCCCCATAGGGTTTCCGAGGGTGTAATCTTTATAGAAGACTGGTGGGTTCAAACCACTGACCTTTCAGATGGCAGCTGAGCGCTTAACCACCGTGCCACCAGAGCTCCTTAACAGGTAAGTAACAAGGTCAAATTTTTGTTTAAGATAAGCCACTATGAGAAGGAAACATTTCACTGCAACAAGAATGAAGGAGCAATGAAGGGAGATCAGGGAGGATTTGAGAAATATTTAGGAGATAATAGTAATAAGAGAATGGTGATTGGAGCAACAAATTTGGAGGGAAATTTATGTGACTTCCCACAGCGCTTTAAAGATGATTCTATTACAGTACTAAGCATAAAGTATTATAGTTATTTGTTTACATTTTGGCTCCTCCATAATGCAGAGTTGCCTGAATATAAGTACTCAGTATCTTATACATAGGAGGCCCACCATAAACATACTTAAACGTATATGGCTACAAACTTTACCAGGTCATTATTTTTTGTAGAGAGGAAGAAAAGTCTTGCTAATAAAAGTCTTTAATCTTAAAAGTCAACCAGTACTCTAAAACTAAATGTACTGAATTTTCCCTATAAGAAGTGAATGTAATGAGGGAGAAAGTCTTGCTAATAAAAAGTCTTTAATCTTAAATGTCAACCAGTATTGGTAAAACTAAATGCATCGAATTTTTCCTGTATGAAGTCAATGTAATGAGGCTCCACCCAGTTATTATTTACCTCTGGTTTTCTACCAGTAAATAAAAACAAACTACATAGTAAAGTGTCACAGTGAACAAATAAGCAGTAATTTAAAACATATACTGCTGCCTATCTTTCTGGAGTCCTGGTGGCACAGTGGTTTAAGAGCTCGGCTACTAACCAAAAGGTCGACAGTTTGAATCTACCAGCCGCTCCTTGGAAACCCTATGGGGCAGCTCTACTCTGTCATATAGGGTCACTATGAGTCGGAATTAACTCGATGGCAATGGATTTGGTTTTGCGTTTTGGCCTACCATTTTGAGACTGGAAAACTAAAGACCTCATCCAATTTCCCAGAGCTCTACAAAAATTAAGTAAGGCCACCTTACTAACTTGCTCTTTCTATACTTTTACCTGTTTATAGAGTTATGCAGCAATCCCCTTTTGCATAAACCCGGTAAACCAGAACTCTTTTATCTGTATGTAACTCTAACCCAATAATAGGGGGTGGGGGCAAGACACTCAAAACAGAAAGCAAACTAAAGTTTAAGATTTCATTTTTAAATTACCAATTAAAATGTATCTTAATAGGGATATTAATTATGGGCAAAAGTTTGAGTGGAAAACATTTTAGGTTATATACTTTTCTCCCTGGGTAGTGCAAACGGTTAAGCGCTTGACTACTAACCAATAGGTTGTCGGTTTGAACCCACAGAGGTGTCTCAGAAGAAAAGCCTGGTGATCTGTTTCTGAAAGGTCACAGCCTTGAAAACCCTATGGAGTACAATTCTACTCTGACACACGTGGGGCTGCCATGAGTCAGAGTCAACTTGACAGCAACTGTTTGTTTGTTTTTTTAAATACCTTTCTCCAGCATTTTCTTCTCTGTGAATCAGTCCTCGGTATTGAATTAACAGCTTTCACTTGGATAAACTCTATGGGCCATCTGGCAAAGAGCAATTTAGCTTCTACAGTACCCTGTTAAACAGCATTTATAAATGTCATTCTGTGTAGAACTATAAACATAGAGCAGGTTAATAACAACACTGTTTTAGACACTCTCAGGTCTTTCAGAGGTGGTACATTTGCCTAATTTTAGGCTGCCAACGGCAACCTAACAACTTACTTCACCACTATGTTCATTACCATGGTTAAATATAAACTGACTGCAAGGTATTTGGAATATAACTGGCAAACATTATATCCTTCACTAACATCTCTATTTTAAACCTACTCATCAGAGAACGAAAGAGGTTAGAGCCTACAGTTTTCCAGTATGTCATAAAATATTTTTCTTCCCAAATCTCAATAGGTATGAGTAGCTTTATTCATAAAAGAACTTCATTTCTGTTCAAATAACATTGTTTCTTGGATCTCCTCATATCCGTGTAAACAACTACTTTAATTTTTAGGCATCATATCTGCCAACTGCTGTAGGCAAATGAGTGTTTCCTTTTAATGGAATAACTATTCCATTTACCCAAAATAAAGAAGTCAATAAATAAATAAGTAAATGTAGTATTTCAAAGAAGTTATGTACTACTGTAGGCAAATGAGTGTGTCCATTTAATGAAATAACTATTCCATTTATCCAAATAAAGAAGTTAATAAACAAATGAGTAAATACCGTATTTCAAAGAAGTTATGTACTATGTACAAATTCCTAATTCTGACATACCAAAGTATTTGCAAAACAAAAATAACCTTCTATTAGCAAATACTCAACTTGTAAAGAGGACAAATACATAATAATACTAGGCATCTAGGTTTTTATGTAATCTTAGTGCCTGAAGATGATGAAAACGCTATTTCAAAAACCTTAAAAACAGCTAAAGAATTTTCTACTGATTTTTTTTGAGAACTTAGTACTTTTATACCCAGGAGTACTGCATATAGATCCCCTTGATGTTTATAAACATTACCTGTATAGCAGCCCAGAAGCCTATTGCTAGGGAACGATGCAAGGTATTTTTTTCTGTTTTTCCATTTTCTCTACCCATGGGAGTTGAATCTGCCATCTCTATTAAGCAAAGGTACTGCTAGTTCAAAAAGTGAAATTCTGTAACTCCTGTTACAGCTGACAAGATCTCTAAACTAGGTTTAAAAAAAAACAAAACCTTATCTCTTAGTGTCTCAGTTTCTTCATCCGTAAAATAAAGATCTGTTGTTGTTGTTATTGTTAGCTGCCATCAAGTTGATTGCAACTCATGGTGACCCTACGTGTGCAAAGTAGAACTGCTCCATAGGGTTTTCAAGGCTGTGACCTTTCGGCAACAGATCGCTGGGCCTGTCTCCCGAGGTGCCCTTGGGTGGGTTTGAACTGCCAACCTTTCGGCTAGTAGCAGAGTGCCACCTAGGGACTCCCAAAATAAAGATATTGAAAGGTTAATTTCTAAGGTACCTTTCCGTCTCTGGAGCCCTGATGGTGCAGTGGTGAAGAGCTCAGCTGTTCAAATCCACCAGAGGCTCCTTGGAAACCCTATAGGGCAGTTCCACTCTGTCCTATAGGGTTGCTATGAGTTGGAATCAACTCGACGGAAATGAGTTTGGTTTTTTTTTGTTTTATTTTGTTTCCTTCTCTACATTTCTATGATTTCTATGAAGGAAGTTAGATAATAGCACAAACCAAACCAAACCGAACCTGTTGCTGTGAGACACTCAGAAAATCCACCTTTAGAATCCATGAAATAAAGTACTCTGATAGGTTTGGGGAAGTGATAATAATAATAATAAACACAGAAATAGCTATTATTTATTGAAGGCTTACTCTGTGTGGAGGAACCCTCGTGGCGCAGTGGTTAAGCGCTGGGCTGTTAACCAAAAGGTCGGTAGTTCGAACCTACCAGCCACTCTGCGGGAGAAAGATGTGGCAGTCTGCTTTTGTAAAGTTTTACAGCCTTGGAAACCCTACAGGAAAATTCCACTCTATCCTACAGGGTTGCTATGAGTCTGAATCGACTCGACAACAATAAGTTTGGTTTTTGGTTTTACTCTGTCTGGAGTACTATGGTAACACTTTACATATATCGAGTCAGTTAATACAATAAATATAAAAGATGACACTATAATCCTATTATACGTATGAAGAAAGTAAAATTCAGAGAAGTGACTTGTCCAAAATCGTATAGACTTTCAAGAATAAGGATTCGAATTCTTGCTTTCCAACCAAAAAAACTTGTTTTCCTGTTAACTACTGAAATATACTGCCTCAAACAGTAGTCATCCTTGGGGGGAAGAAGGGAGATAGGATGGGTTGTGATTGAAAGAAAGTATGAAGGTTTTTGGAAAGTTGGTAACATTCTTGATCTGAGTCCTGGTTTACACAAGTGTTCAGTTTGTAAAAATTCATTAAACTGAACACTTATAATCTATGTAATTGTATATTATACTTCAATAAAAATTAAATACATATATACATACATACACACATATATATGTATGTATATGTATAAATGTATATCTATCATCTACCTACCTACCTACCTACCTACCTACCTACCTACCTACCTATCTATCTATCTATCTATCTACCTACCTACCTATCTATCTATCTATCCTGCCTCCATGCATTTGTGAGGACTCTTTCCTTTGCATGCAAAAATTCAATTCGAACTAGCTTCAGCAATATCGAAAAAAAAAAAAACAGGGGAGATTCATTGCTGACATGGCTAAACCACCCAAAAATCAAGAGTGAAGCTAATCTCAGGGCAGGCTGAATCCAGGTATCAGAGCACCATGCTGGCCTGTTGCTTTGGTTTTTTTTTTCCCCACTCCTGGCCCTCTGTAGTGCTGTCTCATTGTCTTCTTTTGTCCACGATTTTCTCCATGATGTGGTAACACGTCTGGAGGATGCTTCAGACTTACATAACTCACACCGGTAAGAGTCTTTTCCACTAGCTCCAGATTTTCACAAGTTTATGAAAGGACAGCTTGGGTTATCTGGATATACCTGGACCGATCACTGTGGCCAAAAGGGTAAAGTACCATCTCTGGCTGCCTTATGAACATACTTCTTTGGTCAGATGGAAGGAGTACGTGCAGCACAGATATGGTGATTAGGGAAGCTGTTGGGTACTGGAAACCACTTTAATTTCTCACTTATTATAAGAACCTTATTTTTATGAACAATACTTACTTATTAAACAATTCATAAATGGCTATAAAAAAAACTCTTAAAAATCATATTTAAAGATAATTTACTTCCTCTTAACTCTGTGAGGTACATAAAACCCCCCAAAAAGAAAGAAAACCCAAACCCATTGCCATCGAGTTGATTCCGACTCATAGCAGCCCTATAAGACATAGAAGAACTGCCCCCAAAGGGTTTCCAAGGCTGTAAATCTTTCTGGAAGTAAACTGCCACATCTTTCTCCCATGTAGCAGCTGGTGGGTTCGAACCGCTGACCTTTCGGTTAGCTGCGAAGTGGTTTAACCACTGCACCAGCAGGGCTCCTTGATGAGGTAAACAGGGAAAGCACTATTAGCCTCAGTTTACAAAAGAAGAAATTGAGGTTCAGAGAGACTAAGTAATGTGTTCAAAATTTCAAACTGGTGAATGTCACAAAATCAAATGCAGGTCTTGATTCCAAGCACAGTGCTCTTTCAAGCACACCATACTATAAAGCATAGTACTTAAAAATTCCATTAAAGATTTAATAGTGCATATGAGAACACGGTTCAAGAAGAAAAAAACTTAAGAGAAAATGTAATAAGCTCATTTATCCATGGCTTAATACTTCTATGTTGGTAGATCTTAATTTTCTATCTACTACTATATCCACCCAGAGGCAACTTCAAATGACTTAAAAAAAAATAAGAGGATTTATTATCTCATACAAGAAGTCCCAGAGTAGAGCATTTCCAGTGTGATTAATTCTGTGGCTCAAAGAGTTCTGAAAAACTCAAGTTCTTTCCATCTTTCAACTCTGCCATGCTCAACTGGTTAGCAAGCTCCCCTCATGGAAGCCAGGTGACTACAACTGCTTCAGGCAGCAGAGCCTCACCCACCAATGTCCAGAGACAGGAAAAAAGATCCTCTATTTCATTTCATTCATCTACTTAAACTAAATTATAATTTTAAAATGCCTGGCACATAATAAACATTATGTAAGTTGTGTTATTACTGGGTCTCTTTTTAAGAGATGGGAAACTTTTCCCTGCAGCCTTTCGTGTCTCATTGGTCAGAACTGGAATACAAGTCCCTTTCTAAGTCAATCACTGACAAGAGAAACAGAATCCCATGATTATCTGAAACTAATCAGGAATAACCCCAGCTGGGACTTCAGATACATACTTCCGGGCCATAGGCTCTGTGGAGGAGAATGCATTCCCTAACAAAATAGAGGCTCTTCCAACTAGAAAAAAGGTCAGGAATAGATTTGAGTATGAAATCCTTGTATTCCAGCCAACTATACATCCTTTCTTCTCATGGTGCTAAAAGAATAGGAAGGAAACTGCTGATGCCTCGGGGCATAATTCTACAACATGGAGAGAGTAGTCTGTGGTGGGAAAATGTAGCCAACTCCAGAAAAGAGGGAAAGAAAAAGAGGGAGACAGACACATCTGATGGTGCTCTGGTCTTGGGATTCAGTCAACCTTGAAATAAGCTTCACCATAGACCTTCCCATGGTTTAACTGTGAAAGCCAATAAATTTCCTTTCGTTTGCTAAAGATAATTTGAGTTGGACTTGTCTTGCAAAAGAATCCTGACTGATGCACGAAGGATAATCTTAAAGGTAAATAACAGCACAGGTTTTCAGAGTTGAAAGCTGAGGCCTAATACTGGTTAACCGTCTGTGTGACCTTGGGCAAGTTACTTCTTTGAAAGACCATGAGTTGAGTAGTTTCCACAGAGACCTTATGACTCTCAAAGCCTAAAACTTACTATCTAGCCCTTTACAGAAAAAGTTTGCCAACTCTGGTTTAGAGCAATGAATTACATTCAGTACCCCTCACTCCTTCCCACAAATGCCAGTATTTCCCCAAAAGTAATCATGAAAACCAAAACTTCACCTCCCACATTTCCAACCCCTGCCTCTCAAACTCCCTACAAAGGATGAGGGGTGATAGAACTTTGGTTTGAGAACCACTGAGCTATAAAGAATTTAAAGGATTGCCTCTGGTGAACAGAACTCAGAGGCTGGGGAAGAAAAGGAAAGAGTAGTACTAAGTGCTAGCGGCTGCTATTTTTTGCAAGCCTAACTAATCTTTTAAATTATTCAAGAAAAAAAAAAATAAAAGCCAAAGAAAAATATAGGACAAATTAGATCCGGTTAATGGTTCTGGAATCTCCTCTAAGATAAAATACACAATTACATTTGCTATATTTTGTGACATCTGTTATGGTTGCTCAGGATAATTTTTTGGTTGCACATATCCAAAGGTGCTAGGTAAATAACCCTCAGATAAGAGAGGTGGTCACCAAGCTAACAGAATGTGAGCACAATATTTCAAACCCTCCTATCTCAAGAAAAGTCAGTTAACCCAGTATGTTCTATAAATGCTCTTCAGCGTAGTTAAAAGTGTTTAACATAAAAAGCCAAATACAGAAAATGTTTAATAAACATTACTAATTCCTATAAAGTACAAAATAGGAAAGAGAAAAAATTTCAAAGATTTTTGTAGAAAATTTTTTTTTAGTTTTTTTTTTTTAATTCAGAGTTTTCTTTAGCTAAGCAGGCTGGTTTTTAAGTTGACTGTAAGTTAAAAAAAAAAAACAAAGGTGACATTAATACAGAACCATAAAAGACTCAACTAATTGGATGATCAGCATCAATACTTTCACTTGAGTACTTTATATAAAAAATGTGATACTGCATGTCTGTGACGTATTCTACCCAGAAAACAAATAATAGATGGAAAGACCAACTGTATTCTTAGGTTTATCTAATATTTAAAATGTTTCAATTACCACTTATTTCTAATTCAACTAAATATAAAAATTTGCTGATTTTCCCCAAATACAAAAAGTCTTAAATATATAATTACACTTTGTTAATAGAGACCTCAAGAGTAAGGCATCAAAATGTTTTAAAATGCAAAAACAAACATGACTCACTACACACAATAAACATCTAAGATACTACATATAACAACATACATTTCAGAGAAAGTAAACGACATTCTTCACCAAGTAAACAATTTACTATATTTTCAAAAAAAGACATTTATTCTTACAGACTTTATAAAGGAAAACATTACATTGCTGAAATTTAGTTTTAAACGTATAGGATGACACAGCTAGTAAAGTACTTATGAAAACTAATCCTAAAACATCAAAATAAACATTTTTATTTTCAGTTTGGAAAATATAAACAGTCCCCTTTTTACTGTAAAGTTTGAGCTGCTGAATTATAACTTATAAGAAATATTAAAAACTGTAGTTTCTGTTAATAGTTATAAAAGAAATTAAAGCAAGAAAAATTTTAATACTTTTACAAAATGTTAATTATATCCATAATCCTGGAGATTTGTTTTATTTATAACTGATAATAACTAATCTATTTTGACAACGTAAGAATAAAAAGTATACAGTATATTTTTAAGCATCATCTTTCTAACTTATTTACAAGTAAAATTAGCACAAGGAAAACAAAAATAATCTTCCCTTTCTATTCAAAAGATCCTAAAATTAATCTTGTCATATTTTAGGTAGTATTTGATATAAATCTATAGCACAAAATAAATATGCATTTTTGGAATAAAAACATTTTAAAAGTTAAAAGCTTTGACTATCAACTTACCTTCTTTTGATACCAGACTATAGCATCTGTGACTTTGGACGCCATTTATTCCACCGAAATCACACATTAGTCATTTTTAGTCATTGTAGGCTGTACAAGAAATAAAAGCATACAAACTACTTTACTTCCACCTTCCAAAAGGAAACTGAACAACATGCATACACAGTACTCTGCTTACTTGCAGAGCAAGGGGTGTATGACTGTACTTATATTACAGTCTTCCTCATTACTATTTTAGCAACAGGTTGCCTTAAGTAAACAAAAATCAGCTGCCATAATAAAAGAATGTTCTTTCTGCATGAATGTAACACTTGACTTTTCTTACAAAATAGATTGTTGGTTTAAAAAATAAGACTTTAAAATAAATTCCAGAATTTGCTAGTTTATACTGGAAGTTTTTCATGCTGAAAATCACAGGTAATAGAAATCCATTCATTCACTCAGTAATAGATCAGCTTTTGCTACAGTTTCTATCTAGGAACAATTACTATCAATTATTATTGCTAGTGAAAGGTTTAACAAAGATGCCAAAATTTATAATCTTATTTTTCCTGATACTCAGTAACATAAAATTGAACAAAAATCAAATAACTGGAGAAGCCTAAGTAACTTATGTTAAATACTAGGCCAATAATAGAATTAATTTTACAGGAATCAAAATTTACTAATATTTAGAAATTTATCACACATCATTTCATAACCATCTTTCCTGTGTTTGTCTAAAAACAGTATTGGGTACTAAACTTGATGGTTCCTTAGCCCTAGACAGAATTCCAGAAGTTAACTCTGAAATACTTTATTGGTTATAAGGCACAGAGGGTGCCTCTGGTATGGTGGTAAGGATGAGCCTAAAACCAGTTCAAATGCAATACTGGCCCTAGAACTCATTACAAACCAAAATCATTCAAGGCCAGACAGGAGCTCATGGAAATCCTGGTAGTAAAGCACTCTGCTGAGCACATGCAGATCTGCAACTGTAGAGATGCTACCACTACAGAGTTTGCCAAGGGAAAATAAAATACCAGAGGTTTTATATACCATTCCTGCAAGCATATATACTTCTTGAGCATATTAATAGTCAAATATAATGAAAATTATCATCAGCAAGCTCAAATGTTCAGATGATCAATCTCTAAAAATTTAAAGGAGAATTTACTTAATGCCTGTATTTTTGATAGTGTTATAGACCAGATTATTTTATTTCCTTTCCTAGGATATTAATAATTTCATCTTTAGCCGATCAAATTCAAGCAAACTATGTTTTGAAATTCCTGTGAAATATCCTGGCATAATGGAAAGAAGAGCATTAGAGTCCAAAGACTTGGATTCAGATATTGGCTTTGTGTAATACTGTGTGTAATACTATGTGTCATACTGAATAAATTACTTAATTTCTCTGGACCTCACAGGGTCACTATGAGTCAGAATCGATGGCAACAGGTTTGGTTTTTTTGGTTTATAGTTACCCATCTTTAAGTAGCCCTGGTGGTGCATGGGTTAAAGCACCGGCTGCTAACCAAAAGGTCCGCCAATTCTAACCCACCAGCCACTCCTCAGGAGAAATATGTACCAATCTGCTTATGTAAAGATTACCAAAAAACCCCACTGCCATTGAGTCTGACTCACAGTGATCCTATGGGACAGAGCAGAACTGCCCCATAGGGTTTTCAAGGCTGCAAATCTTTATGGAAACAGACTGCCACATCTTTCTCCCTCAGATCAACTGGTGGGTTCGAACCGCCAATCTTTTGGTTAGCAGCCGAGTATTTTAACCACTCCACCACAGGACTCCTTATGTAAAGATTACAGCTTTGAAAAACCTATGGGGCAGTTCCACTCTGTCCCACAGGGTTCACTATGTGTTGAAATCCACTTGACGGCACACAACAAAAAAACACCTATTTGCTACAGGGTTTTTTTTAAATGACAGATAAGGAAAATAATATACATAAAATGCCTACCACAGTCCAGGACATACAGTAGATGATCAATTAAAAATTATTTTTAATGTTCATTTTTATATAAAAAATAAGTTCCCCAATCCAGGAATTAGGAAGCATTTATACTTCCTTTTTTAAACGTAGCAAACAGTTTAGGGAAGGAATACAGGTAATCAGCCTCTGTTAACATTATCATAAGATAATCATAAGATGGCAATGTCAGTTCTGAACTATACACACACAGATTTAGAGATTTCAGAGTTCACCTCCACTGAAGTCTCTCCGTCAGGTGTGGCCACCTTCATTTCTCTCACCAAAGTTTTTTGGGGAAGCTTTTCCTTTACTGACTTAAAAAAAATCTCCCATTTTGGTGTTTCCAACCTACAGGTCTCCAGGGTGACTCATTAATTTTTAACCACACTTTGTCCTAGGGGTTTTCTCCATAGATTCCACTAGAGGACTATCCATTAGACATTTACACCTTCGTTATATTTGTTTGTCAAGACAATCATGTATGTTTTCCAAACTGATTATAGTCCTTTCCCCCCTCAAAAACATGCAAAGTATGAAAAATGGTACAAAAGTATGAGAATATCTAAATTTTTCACTTTAATCTCCTGACTTGAAAAAGGCCTTTGCAACTTTTCTTGCTATTTGATTTCTCTATTATTCAGTTAATGATATTTATTGACAAAAATTCTAGATTATCTACTAAGACAAACATCCTCTTACTAACCCCGAGAGTATATAAATAATACACATTTCATATACAAAATACAAAAGGATTTTTTATTCACCCACTCTATTAAACATAAGAGCTATTTAATATATTTAGGAAATATTTAAATGGTCACAGTGATTTTAAAAAAGAGGCTTCAATGAAAGTGAGGTAACGATTGCCTGTTTCAAAATAAAATGATCTGAGAGATAATTTTTTTATATACTTTGGCTTTACCAATCTACATTTAGTAATAAATTTCTAAAATCAACTGCAACAGTAAGCTAGGTACATAAAATGTTCTAAATGTCTTTAGTTATGTTTGTTTGAAACAAAAACACCTTTCTTCAGTAAAGTTACGATCTGCTCTGCAAACTCATTTAATAGTTTTCCATTGTGTCAACAACATTTCAGTGACACTGAGTGGCTCATACCTATTTTTAAAACAAGTTTTACAGCATGCTGAGATAGCCTTCTGAATCAGACATCTGACAAAGCATACTCAAACATATCCAAATTTCACATGAGTATGAGCAGCAAGAATATACTAACAAAGGATTTCCTGAATAAAGATTTTTTTAAGTCTTTCCAACTCCTTTGACTCCATGACAGTGGAGGTAGAGGTATAGGTTTTATGGTTATGATGGAGCCCTGGTGCAGCAGCGGTTAAGAGCTCGGCTGCTTCGAATCCACCCATTGCTCCTTGGAAACCCTACGGGCAGTTCTACTCTGTCCTACAGGGTCGCTATGAGTCCGAATTGACTTGACGGCAACGAGTATGGTATGGTTACGATAGTTCATGTCAAATAACTGTTTTAACATTGAATTATGGCACTAAGGTCACTTTACAGAAAAAAGTAGCATAAAAAACTTATTGGGTACTATGAACAGAGGATCTTAATCTTTCTGATCAACTGATAGAAGGACAGATATTATGATATAAAAATAATCCAATCCTAAAACCACAAGGCTAATTGCAGGTATAATATTTAAATTTTGCTATAGACAGTTACTCTGAATTCTCTCTTGCAGTTTTAATTGTACCTTTGCAAAACATCTGAAATTATTCTTTACTATGTCAGGTTTCACACAAAATGCATTTATGATGCCAAAGACCAGAGAAGAAAAAGATGATTATAGAAGAGTCAGTATGTTGTCTGTCTTTATAGAATCTGACTATCAAGTATACTAATGACTAGTAAGTATTCTTTGTACAGATTTACTCACAGAAACTGTAAGATTTTTAACCATTCCCCATGTTAGAAAAATAAGTCTATCAATACTCCATGTTACAATGTACTTTTCTCGTTATTCTAAAAAAAATGTTTTTCTCTGTTCCAGCATGATAGATACTCTCACTATGTGCAGAAAACAATTTATGCCCACCCCTGACATTTTGCTTGCACTGCATTTCCACTCCATCCTTTTCTCAGCTTAGCCATCCTTCTAAGTCAGTTCAAATCCTACTTCCTCCAAGATGAAGTTTCTTACGCAAGTGCTCTTTTAGATTAAAAAATGCTGAAGCTTGATCTCTCCCTTCCAGCATGATCTCTACTAATAAATAAAGCACTTAAATAGAAATGCAAGGCAATATAACCACATGGGTCACTTGGTCATATGTAAACACTCTTGAGGAAAAAACCGGTGGAATTATTCCTTTGCGCCTCACTCAGTACCCAGTACAGTGTAATATACAGTAGAGGAAGCATAGCAGAGAAAAAGGAATGCCTAACCATCAGGAGGATTAGGTGCTAGATCCGAGTTCTGACACTCAGAGTTGTGTGCTCCTGAGTAAGTTACTGAGCTCTCTGGATCTCCGTTTCTCACCAGTGCCATCTAGCCCAACATTTCACAGCTCTTTAAAAAAGGTTAAACCAAAATAACAATTTTAATAATCTACACAAGTTCTTCCAAATTCCTTTACTAACACACCCGAAAATATCAGTATTAGTTAAATCAATATTACACACATGGAACATAGTGGAAACTTTCAGACAAAATGGAAAACGTGTTATTTTTAAAAGGGAGCTAGCTATGTTAACCTCCTCAAACTCTGATCTTGTCAGTATCCTGTTCAGCAATCCTCTACCACTCTCTCCTGCTTACAGAACAAAATCCATAACCCTTATACTTGTATTTAGACACTCTACAACCTGGTCCCTTATCTACTTGCCCAACATTATTGCTCATCAGTTTTCTAATATATCTTACATTTCAACTATACCACACTTCCTACTCTTTTCTATCTCTGTGCCAAAATTAACACTGCTCCTCTCTTTCCAAAAACAAGTTAAGATTTTGATAAGGCCTCCTGAATTCCACTTTATCAACAAGTTTCTCCCAAATTCTTCCATTCTGAATTTCTCATCTGCCCTGTGTCCTCATTACACTGACTATATTCTGTTTTTTATAGATTTTTGTTTACTTGTCTG